ATGATACTTACATGATTTATTTTCTAGTTAAAACGTCATTATTTAACAAGAAATTTTTTTTTTATAATAAATCAATGCTACTCAACAGACAAATCAATTGTAAATTATTTTTTGACAAAAGACTCTTAATATTATTATGAGTTTTACAATAGGTTTAATGTTTTGTTTTTTAACACATGATTTAGTAATTTCTATTATAAAGGCTTGATTGGATATATATATATATATGTCCATTTTTTGGATTTTCTAGCTTCTTTTTAGCACTGGAGCCCCACAGTCAGCGATGTTCCAATACTATCTAGAGTTATTTCGAGTAGAACATGAAGTCACGGTAGACCATATCCGGAGTATTTCAGACTCACGGTTCCTGTAGTTTTATTGGACATGGCAACGAACTAGTCGCCAAAATGCTCTCTCCGACACTCCCCACTCTATAGAGCAGATCAATAGGCTATAAGAACATGGCTTGAGGTGGGTGGCCGTCTAATGGGATCCCATCGAGTAGAATGAAATTTGATGGTCACGCGTTAGATTGTGCATATGCCTATTTGTATCCAATCTAAATATATTAGTCACATATTTGTAATGAAATTAAGCACGATTAGACATCAATTAAAAAAGATCGGAGACTATCATTCTATCAATTTTAATTCAATTCCACATAGTAGTGATTCAGTTTTAGCAAGATATTATAGAAAAATAATTCTAAGCGAAATTTATTTTATCAAATTCAACCAAAATTTCTCAAAAAAATAAGACATAAAAAATTTCCTATCTAAATAAATTTCTCTCAACCCCTTGTTCAGGCGAGTGTATCTATTTTTTTCCCATTTGTCCAAATCCCAAGTTCGGGGCCTCAGCTTGATCCACTACACCCGTGTACGATCACCCTTGTCTGAATGACTTTGAATTTCTCGGTCTCTATGAGCTATCGTAACAGATAGCATATCAGCGAGGTTACATACAATCACGAGAATAATTCTTGCATGTATCTTAAGCAGGAATTCTTTCAAAAAAACATTATCTCCCTATTTTATTGCTTCAAGTTGCTCAACATATCATTCTCCTTGTTTTATTACTTCAAGTTGCACAACATATCATACTGTTTACATTGGAAAAATACTTATAGAGAAAAATCAATAAGTGACCTGTTAAAATTGTTCTTTTCAAATTTCAACATTGAGCAGTCGCTATCAACAAGCGTTGTATATGGAAACAATGAACCCAATCTAGTGACAAAATCTACTAATATGTTAGATCATTTTGCTGTTTAGCCATTTGGAAATTTTTATTTCTGAAACAACTCGAAAAATAATTTGGAGATTATGCATTCAATAGATTTGAAATTAGGGATATTAGGCATCTATTTTTAGAACGCCTAATGTACAGAGTAGGCCTGCTGATGGATATCTTCAAGACGGATTGAGTTTCCAAGGGATGCCCGTCACTCCCCATTGTATAGAACAGATCAGTAGGTTATAAGAACATGGCTTGAGGTGGGTGCCCTTCGAATGAGGTCCCATGGAGTAAAATGAAACCTGATGGGTATCTTAAAGATACCCATCTTAAAGTTTCCAAGGGGTACCATCAAGTAATTTACTCATTCATAGATTATATCACAATTTTGTCCACTAGGATGATGTCAAAATTTGAGCATGTTCTATATTGTTTCTTAATAAATTGGGTTCTTAATTTTTCTACATTCTTAGGTAGATAAATATGCACAGTTATGGATTTGATTTGGTAATGAATATATCAAATGCAGCCTATATTTTTGTGTCTGTTGTGTAAAAACTCAAGGGTGTACAAAAGTGTATAAGGTTTTGTCTTGACTTCATACATCCATCCGCATCTTTATTTCTATCTTGTGAGTGTGATTATAATGTAACAGAGTGTATAAGATTGATTGATCATTCGAATGTTAAGCAAGTAGATACCCATGATGCAATTTAATTGTGGTGTTTCCTATACCACAATGGATGGATACTTAAAGAATAAATTCCACAATGCGACACAACACCATGGGTCAGATGAGCAGGGAATGGAGAAGTAGCTAGGGTCTCCAATTATGAGACTACATCGAAAAATAAAGTATTTGTCATTATATACATTGAATATTTGTTAACTTACTAACATGATTTGATTTGATGCACGGAGGATACAATGCTATGCCACATGGGTGGCACTTTCTTTAACATATTAAGTATATTTTTTTAGTTAGAGTATATCACTTGAACCTCAGAAACCCTTGCTAGTGCTTGTGCAATTTACTATGACATTCTAAAAATTTGTTTCACAGTTTGATTTAAATACTTACGACCCGTTGTGTTTCGCAATATTGATGGCTGGTGAGACATTAGACCTAATACCAATCCGACTGTACTTGAGCTTCTGGAGCTTAATGTTGTACCACATGATGATTACATACCGTGGACTGCAGCGGACACGTTTTGAGGGGTTTCCAAACTTCACGGAAGATCGTCCACATCCTCCCAAGATGAATATAAGGGAAGTGGAGCGGACCCTTCCAGATTGGCTTGCAGGTTTGAGCTCGATTCCTATCACTTCCTAGCGAAGCATCAACCTATAGCAAGATGTAAAACCATTCGAAGAAATTCATAATAATGCACAAGACTGCTTCTGGCCTCCGACCCGATCTCACGACAGTCAGGTACAATGTTGCAATCAAAATGGGCGTGACGTGTTTCACATACACGCCTCAGGAAAATGCTGGTCCTAAGAAAAAACGTGTCTTTGGCAGTCAGGAAGAACAGACTCTACAGCATCTGTGCTGCTCTCGGGAAAAGCCCAGATATAGATTGACAGTACCAATCCGAGGTGAGCTTTCAAATGTTGCTTTAGGGACAATCGTGCATGTGTCAGGTAAGAAAAGTTGCACAGGACCGGAAGTCCTACGTCAAGGGCAAAAGTATTGGAGGACTCTGCAAGAACTCGGAAAGGAACTCCACGAGACACTCAACACCGGCTGGTGGGGCCCGTCTTCAGGCGGCGCACATCTCAAGGAGATTGGAGGTGGTGAGGTGAATGGCGCAGGCTTCTTGTCACAGTTTCTTGGTCCTCTAGCTGAGATCATGGCTATAAGTTGCTAAGAATCACTTACTGATTCTTAGCAACTAATTCCCGAGCGACTGTTGAGGACAATCGAGACGACTCCGTGACTAGGTCGCTGACATAATTCCGGGCTGTTAAACATAGTCACGGGATTCCATCGGCTTCAACCTCCTGACACTTCACTTGGTGTGCTTCTCTCGAACCAAAAGATCTCGGGGAACTTTTTCTTTCCGAATAAAATTTGACGAACCAGTAAACAATTTGAAGGAAAAGAGGGGAAGCATGAAAAGAGACGCCATTGACTGGATTTTCATCTTCGAAGTTCCTTCAGAAAACGGGTAAACACCATATCTTGCCATCATCCTCCTTGTCACCCTATCGTCGCAATCTTTAGAAAATCGGGGAAAGACCACATAGGAAAAAGGTTCGCGAAGGGCTAGTTTTCGAGGAAAAAACCATAACGCTGAAAAGGAATCCTACATCTACCATTGGGAACGACGATCAAAACGGCGGGAGGTACGTAAACCCAGCCAGCAGCGGGTAATCTGTGCGTGTGTGTCTCTCTCTGCGAGCGAGCAATGGGAAGGAAAAGCACTAAACGAAGTAGAATCCGGAAGATTAACATCTTTTATGAAGCCAAAGAGGAGTTTAACTCAAACCAGAGAAAGATCGGCGACGTGTCCATCCAGTGGAGAACCACGTGTTTTTTAGTGGAGAACGTGGCCTTGACCCGAAGAGGGGTTCTGTTGGGCTGCTTTGGAAGAGCACAGCTGAACAACAGCCGAATATTGTCTGGCCATCGGGCGATACGTCGATCTAATGACGGGACGATGTTCAGTAACAGTAAGTGGTGCGTACATGGGGAAGAGAGGAAATAGCGCGAAATAGGTCCACGCGGCAACGAGCCACTTGCTGTGGGCTGTATGGGTACGACGGTCGCTCCGGTCGCTGGAGGCAGCGTGCCTTTGTCTGCTGTGCATCCCCGGCCCAGCGCACTGTTTTGCCCTTCTTTTGGCCTCGTTACCCGCGGTCAACCATTCAAATTCCCACCGAGTAACTTGGCCGATTCGGATTGCGGTCGTTGAGATTCGAGATCTTCGAGACGAGAATGCTTCCGATCCGTCGATTGGCTCGACCGATGACTCATCGCTGGCTTTTCCGAAAGTTCCGAGTCGGCATGATCTCCATCCGAAATATAGCTCTCGCGATTACATTGCAACATATTTCTCTCCTTCTATTCTGCCTGTGCTCCGAAATATATTACCTGTTTATTCCAACTCATCAGTGTAAACATTAAATTTCCCATTTGTAACATAACTCCGCCATGTATTGCGTGTTTGAGGTCAAGTGCATGTCACATCCTGCTCTAAATTCTTTTCATGTGTCTTCGTTTTTGCTCGCATCCCTTGCAGGTATACGGCATGGTCGAGCACAAGCGTATGTTTGTCCTTATACAGTGACGGTCAGCCACAAAATATGGCGGCCCTCCGCTCTACGACCGCCTCCTGCAAGCGGGGACGCGATCAAGGAGAACAGAATGGCCTGAGCATGACGGGAGATCCGTGGACCGTAGATCCTGGACATGGACGATTTGGATTCCGGGCAGCGAGGTGAGTCGCTGTCAAGGTACATCGTGATGAAGCGGCTGATGGTATCGGTGGGCTGGATTGGCGCATGTACGTGAAGAATACCTATACGTCGACGGACGGAGGGAGGCGGAATTGCGTGCGCGCCCGGGTAATATTGATCGACTCACCCTCCGTTGGCCCGACAACGCCCGTCACGGTCGCGCGAATAGGACGTCTTTGCCTCTTTACGTGCCCGGGGCGGCGACTCCACCTACGGAACATGGGTGACTCTGTTGGTGTCCGTTGTTGAGGTGTCGATAGTTTGGCAGGCGCTGCCATTTCGAGGAAGGCGTGGGAGGGGAGGATGTCCAGAAAGGGTGACCGCGGAGGCGAAGAGAGTTAGTTGCTTGTGTTAGCGGATTGCAGAGGTCCCTGAGCCGGTCCCAGTGGCTGCAGAGCAGAGGGCAGGCCGAGGGGGCCGAGGAGCGAAGGGATGATGGCTGACGAGTGAAAAGGAGGATTTTGAGATACGCGTTGCTCGAACAACGAAGTGGAGGGGCGGAGATGTTGTTCTTGTAAAGCTCTCGTGGAAGAGAATTTCCCGAGTGGAGTGAGCTTGTGTGAGATTGAGCTCAGGAGTGAAGTAACGAGTTACAGGACAAGTTGCCCGGGCCCCGGGCGATTAGATTTGATCCACAGGTCGGGGAGGGAAGGCAGGCAGGCAGGCGGCAGTCGGAACATACGCGAGAAAGTGTGACTATGGAGATTGTGTCGCATCCTGTTTCTCGAGGAGCTAGCACTCGTGCACTTAGTCGATCCAGGCGATTTGGAAGGGAGAGGAATGGATAATAGAAGTACCTGAATTGGTCACAGCTGACATCAGAAGCTCTTGTACCAAAAGCGGTAGCATTAGTTTTAGAGCAGGAGCTTCTGCGGGTTACATTCGCAGTTTTGGTGTTTGTTTTCTGCTCTTTAGAGGTCAGTGAAGATGGGGATGATGGAGATGGTCTTGAAGCATCCAGAAGAGCTTCCAGCATTGTTGAAACTGCAGCTCGCATCTATGCAGGCAACCAGGTTCCTGCCGCCGGAACCGCATTGGGCATTTTGCTATAAGATGTTGCAGAATGTGTCCCGCAGCTTCGCAATTGTCATCCACCAATTGGGTCCTGAGCTACGCAACGCTGTAATTATCTCGTTCCGTGCACATGCGTCTTACTTTTTCATAGATTAGTTGAAGATCTTCCTTTCTTTGTCTACTTTCCTTTCTATCTGTTGGTGACTATGCCCGGCCATATTCAGAGGAGCACAAAATCTGAAGGAAAGTTTATTGTCTAAATCTTGCCAGTCTGATTTGCGTCTTGTCATAGATTCTTGATCTATTGTCTCTTAATACATCAGGGATCAACATCAGGATCAATGACTATAATCTTGGTGGCTGATGTAGACAGTCAACTGTTCATAATCATCAACTCTTCTTGATCATGTTATTTTTTGTTTATGTACTGAATGGAAAACACATTGTAATAACTTTTGCTGAGGTCATTTAGATTCTGATCAACATGAATTTCATCTCATTGATTTAGTTTAGCTGTGGAGATCTCGAATAAATATCGATACAATTTGTCTTTCTCTCTTCTGATTTTTTTTCCCCTTTGGCTTGACATCTTGTATCGCATCGTATGCAGATTTGTGTCTTCTACCTCGTCCTCCGAGGCCTTGACACAGTTGGTAAATTTCTCTGCTTCTTGGATTTTATTGCGATAAGAATCAAGACCACCATGACATTCCATTTTGAAAATCAGAGATACTGTTTTCTGTATTGGATCGCTAGATAGACCAACGGGTATATACCAACGGGTGTTCATAGCTTGGTCAATAATTCCGTGACGCAATGAATTCTTATTGGAAAGAAATTGGGCTTGGTTGAAATTTCGAACGATTGTGACAGAGGATGATATGGCTATACCAATCGACACGAAGGTTCCAATTCTCAAAGCCTTTCATGAGCACATCTATGACACTTCATGGCATTTCATCTGTATGTATCTTTGCCTTTTAACACCTCTCAATTTTACTACTCTTTTAGGCTATATTGCGATTTTGTATAACTTTGGATGTTGGTAACAGTGGTTTTCATGAGGTAGAATGACACGATGCTCTTCACTACGAGATTTTTTCATGATATTAAAATTTTGACTGAAATGCGTGTCCGGATGTTTTTCAAATCACATTCTACAGAACTTGTGATTGGAGTTTGGTGATTATTAGCTCTCGTTATATTTTGGTTTCCAAATCGATATGAAATTGCCTGACATCAAACTCTCTCTGTACTATTGTAGGTGGGGAGAAAGATTACAAGGATCTAATGACTGGTTTTCATCACGTTTCCACGGCATTCTTATCGCTTGCCAAAGGGTAACTTCTTCTTTACACATTTTAAGTTTCCTGATGACAATGATTCTTGGACATGGTTTGCTTCTGAATTGAACTTCATGTCATACGAAGAGAGTTTCATTGAAATGTATCTACTGTCTTTCGTATCAAAATCTTTAAATAAATTTCATGAAAGAACAGACGGGCTGGAAAAATGGACTGAAGAACCAACATCAGAAATGTAAATCTATGCAGCACTAGTCTGTCATAAACTTTCGTTTCGGATCAAACAGTGACTTCGCATTGTCTTTGGACAAGACATCTTTGTACTTCATGTTTTTTTAAAAATTTATCCCACTTGCTCGTGTCCTTACAAAGCGCTTCATTGTGTTTCTTATTATTTACTCTCAACTCTAAATTATGTGGTTGAGTGGATGGATCTAAACCCCCTGGTCCTTTCAGCCAATTTTACTCCCGATATCATTGGACCTTCAGCAATACTTAACTAGTAATACCTCCATTTCATTCATGATACGTCTTACATGAGTTTTGAGGATTTTTTGGTTTTTATGAAGGTATCAAGAAGTTATCTCTGAAATGACACAGCGAATGGGGAACGGGATGGCCAAGTTCATCGAAGTAGAGGTCTGTCCAGACACGTTGTACTTTTGTTCTCCAATTTGACTTTACAGGAAAACATCTTCTCGTGTGAACATCTGCCTGTTAAAGTGGGTATATCTTTGAGACTTTTGAGATAAACTGCTGAAGATAAACCTTCATATGTGATCCCAATCAGGTAGAGACCATCGCAGACTATGACGAATACTGTCATTATGTGGCTGGGATTGTCGGACTTGGACTGACTCGACTCTTTTACGCCGCGGGACTGGAGGATTTTGCTTTGGATGTACTTTCAAACTCTATGGGTTTGTTTCTCCAGGTCAGCTTATCTCTAGAGCTATCTTTTCTTACACTGATATTTTTGCTTCCAGCATGTTTAATAGCGTTTGGCACGCAAGAGCAGCGTTTTCCCGGTATACATCGGATTATTATCGGATCATTTTATCTATTTGAATGCAAATTTACCGCCACACAACATGTTGATTATGATTATGTTTGTCTTAGAAAACAAACATTATACGAGATTACTTGGAAGACATCAACGAAATACCTGCACCTCGTATGTTTTGGCCTCGTGAAATCTGGGGCAGATATGGGACGGCACTTGAGGTACCTGGAAGAGTGGTCTTTCCCTCTAATGTTCTTTGATATCAGCTGGGTACATGAATATCTGCAGAGTTATGTTCTTATCATTCACACATGGGTTTGTTGCCACCATCATGCGTTGGTAGTTCAAATAACTATCTGGAAGATGATTCTTGGAGTTTAAATGTGTTCTTTCATTTATATGATTAAAGCTTTTTTGGAAAATTAAGTACCGGAGATGGTATTTCTTATGTTGTTCGCTTGAATGAGTTCATCGTGGATTCTTATCATTCTTATCATGATTGATCTTTTTCTTTGGACTACGACAGGCAAATGCTACTTATCCAAGTTTAACAAAGAATCAATAACATCTTTTCAGGTCTTCAAAGAGGAGGACCGATCTGAAGATGCTCTGCGCTGTCTGAATGATATGATTACCAATGCTCTCAAGCATGGTCCCGAGTGTTTGCAGTACATGTCCGCCTTGCGTGATCCTGCAATTTTCCGGTTCTGTGCTATTCCTCAGGTAACGCATGCTTGAAGATCCATTTGGATGTGATTGATGGATTTGTCAATATAGATCATCTTCTTCATACGAGAAACACCGATTGCGGACATATCAAGAATTCTAAGTTGGACGAATGCATTTGATCAAAACAAAGGGCAACTTGACCTTTACTAGCTTTAACAAAAGGTAGTTCCATGCCCTTTTCATTCATCAGCACATATATGCAGGGTACAGAGTTGATTGAAACTACCTCGAACCGTGGACATGGACTCGGTTGAGGTGCATGCTTTCTGTTTATTCCCTGAATCCGAGAAACGAATCGTGTTGGCAACAGGTTATGGCGATAGGCACGTTGGCTCTCTGCTACAACAACATTCATGTCTTCAGAGGAGTTGTCAAAATTCGTCGAGGTGACATACAGTTGCTGCTTATCGGACATACAGTTCTCGGACAATATGTCCGAGAGTCGTATGGTCTAATCTGTAATTATGTTGTATAGTCTGTCATTATAGTGTTGGGATCTTGAGTTTTGATTTTTGTTTCCTGGCTCGAACTGGATCTTTGGCAGCATCACCACTACAAACCGGCAATGCGCTAATAGAAGCAAAACTCGCTGATACCGCCCTTGCTTTCATGTGTGCTCAACTAAGTTATCAATCAATGCGATGTCAGCCATGTTAGTAATATTTATGCGTGCCAAGTGGATGCATGTTGCACATCTCTAAGAATCTGTTCATACTGAAATTTGCAGGACTTACTGCAAAAATTATGGAGGGCACCAAGACAATGTCCGATGTCTACGCTGCATTCGATGATTTTAGCGGAATTCTAGCAGCGAAGGCACGTACATTTTAATGTCTGCTCCACATGAAACATTTACTCTGATGACGTTTATTATTTTGGCCCAGCCTTCTGGGGTTTTACAAACGTTCCAACGAACGAGTCATCACAAGTTACCAAGAACGATAAGTTTTAATTAGCTGTTTGCCCCTGATTCTTTCCAGATCGATAAGTCTGATCCTTCAGCAGTTCTGACACAAAGATACGTTGATGAGATTCGAACAGCTTGCAAAGCCCGTTTTCTCAACAAAACCAAGAGGTATGCAGTTTCCATTTCGAAGAGAATCTCCACCGATTGATCAACTAAGAACCAAGAGAAAAATCATCCACACTTGCCTGTGTTGATTGCGGAGCACTATATTTAGAAACTGACTATCTGATGTTCACTTCATTGCAGAAAAACTTTCTCAATTGAAAGCAAGACGGGTCATGAGATATGTCTGGTATGTACTGTTTCTGTGACTTGAAACTGGGAGCTAGAAGGCCTGCTTTTGATGCTTGCTATTGGTGAACCGCACTCACTTCACGTTTCTGCTGTGACAGGTTTTGGCTATATTGCTCCTCGCGTTAATAATGATCCTGATAGTATGGCGCTGAGGAACTTTCAAGAATGTGTTCTTTCGACTTAAGCATTTCCTTTATCTCAAGTGTGCTGCAGGATGTCACGGAGAAGTTTTAGAGCCCTTTCGTAGAGTTGGACTGCCAATATGTGCCAGTTCAGGGACATTCTTGTGTGGTCTGATTTTTTTTGTATATTAGCTCCTGACATCGAATTCGCACGCTACTCGAAATTAGTTAACAGTGGACGTTGGTTCTATTGTGCCATTTCCTGTTACATTTTATGTCAACTGTCATCCAGTGCAGAGCCGAGAGTAGTTTCTTGTGGAATGGAGTACATTCTTATGGTAGGCAAAAACACATCGTACAGGTCCAATCTACCTTTTAAACAGCAGTCAGAACCGATCCATGCCCCTGTCCACTCGTCTTGAAAGAGCTTCGTCCACGTTTTTGCTACTGATTCTTTCTTTGCTACTGGCATCTGGATCACATGCGGGGAAACACTTCAGTTCAAAGTTGCCACCATCTTCCACCACTTTTTGGATACATGATTTGCTCTGCTCTGCAGTCTCTTATGCCTTCACATGATTCAAAAAAGCTGTTGAGCAGATCATGGTTAATGGGCAGAGATAACGCATGTTCGCATACCAATAACAGCGAGGCTTTTACTTTGTGCTAGTAGGTGGGCTTCGATTCCCCAAGTTGGCTCACGGATTTAGTTACATCTTTGGAATGTTCAGTGGATATTCATCTGAAATCTCGATGTCCTCCAGAAGTTCGAATCGTTGCATCATATAGGGCATTTCGTAGTGTTGTGTGATATCATCCCTTTTTCCCCAGAGGATGATCGTGGCGCAACTTTTAGGCCGTCTTGTTGGTAGAAAGTTGGACAGGACGTAAGAACCCTTCTATCAACGACCTGCTGTTGGTTCTGGATCATTTTAAAGAAAACGATCAAACTGCTTTGCTGAAAAATTCATTCCATACAACTAGCTTCAATAATTCAGCTCGTCCATCTGCCACTTGTCGTCGTCCTACGCTCTCCTGAGCTATGGGGGTTTCTGTTATCTTTGGCGTTCTCAAGCTTCCTCCTATGAGTAATAACTCAGGGCCTCTCTGGTTTCGGAAATCATCGCTTACCCAATTTAAATCTTATCTCACATTCCATTTTGTGTGTGGTCCTAACGTCGATGCAACTCGAAGATGCAAAACCTGAGAAACCCTAAGTGAATTCCAAATGGAAATTTGACATGTCGACAATATACACGAGGAGTACAATATGTTACTATTTTAAACTAACGAAATAGCCGAAATCAGAGAATGCTACAAAAGATGAGAAGAATACTAGGAAGAAATGTTGCCACTTTCTCCAGTATTGTCTTCATCAAGCGGTCGAAATTTTCTGTTGCTTTGGACAACTCTTTGGGATCCGTAGGTAGGAAGATAGTAGCAGGAATGTGAATTTTAAGCTTTAGTTGCCCATCCTTGCGGGTTGGGAAGCTACGACACACCAAACTTTGATTTACATTTTGCATTGCTTGGTACATTGATTTAAACTTCGTTTGTTTGACGAAAGTAGTTTGATCAACTAGTCAAAATTCCATTGATTTGATGCATTGATCAATATTATGTCTTTGAATGCTACTGTTTTTCATGAAAAATATAAGTAGATTGCATCTGTAATTTAATTTCACATATATTATTTTATTATATCATGTTTTCATAAGATTTTTAAATTTTAATTGACCATGATTTTAGATTTACTTTTAAAATTTTCAACAAAGTATTCATATTGATAACATAGTTTATATACACAAAACAGGAATAAAGGTAGTAACTGTTAGAAATTTTTTGGAGTTTGTTTACTTTAGTAAGTGTAACTCTGGTTAATTTGATTAGTTAGCTTATTACTATATACAAAAGAGTTACTTATAATATTTGATAACAAAAAATGTTAGTATTTTGAGTAAAATTTTAAATTTTTTTGACGAAATAGTCTTGTTGAGATTATCAAAGTCAATAACATTACCTACTTGCAATGTCAAACGTATTGCTTGATTGTACTAACTTTTTTTTTCCATTGATTGAATGATACAAAAAAAATTTCATATCTTAAAATTTATCAAATAAGGAAAAATTTAAAGTGAATGAAATACAAACTTAATTTTTTAATCTTTTTCATTCACTTAAATTTTTGGACCTTTACACATAATATAAACTATCATATGCATGATATTTTTTATTTTTCTTTTTCAGAGTAGATTGATGCATTATTGCAAAATAAAATATTATAAAATTTAAATTGTCATTATGATAAAATATATATATATTATAAATCAATATGTGATCTTTCTATGTAATGCTATCTAGTAAAGTTTCACCTTTGATATGATTTTTTGTTAAAATAACTTATCCTTTATGTATGCAAAAGATTGATTACACTTTGCATTGATGAAACTCATAATTATTTCATAAGATCTACAAAATTTCTCCTTATGAATTGGGGAAACTGTATATACATTAATTAGAGTTTTCAGAATTTTAATACATGATTTTTTATGAATTAGTATTTAAAAATAAAATAATGAATTGATTTGCAATCTTTTATGTCAAATAAAAGAACAATTTCATTTCAAAGAAAAATCATTTTTTCCAATGTCATCTAATTTTACCAAATTTTACAATTTCAGACAAGTTTTGAATTATACTTATGATTAAAAATGTAACATTGAAAATTATTATTGAAGTCATTGATAATTTAAAAAGTGTTGTTGCTTAATACCTGAAGCTTAGAAAATTAAAACAGGAATTTATCCAATTCAAACAACACACGCAATAAGATTCTGATATTTAGTTATTTGATGTGAAATCTTTTCATTACATGTGTTTCTTAATGGTTAAAATATCTTTTATTACATTATGCTTCATTGCACTAACTAACTATCCAGATAACTATCTAAGTCTTACATCTTTTCTACATAATCATTGCATATTTACTGTCAAAAAATACCTATTAACAGTAATAGATGTGACACAGGTGAAATATTATCTGAAAAATTCCAAAATTAATTTAGACCCTATTTATTAAAACTTTATTTCTAGAAATGTTAATAAAGATATTATCGTGTAAAGTAGATGAGAACTCGCAATCGGTTCAAAAGATGTTATGCTATCATGTAAATATTACTCGATCAACTGAAGAATTATAGATATAATTATGTGGTCAATATCATAATAATACATATTTATAAAACAATATATATCCATTATACTCAAAGACGTAATTAAGTTATTGGAAGATATTTCTTTAGAATATCCGTATCCGGACGAACTCTCAACGTGGAAACCTCTAAAAATGTTATTTTAGAGGTTAAACCTCTAAAATAACATTTTTCTTATTGATCTACCTCGACGTCAGAAGATGCACGTGCGGTTTAAATTGGGTATCATGTCACGATTATTCCTTCTAGGAAGGAATAAGCGTGACAATCATGTCGAGGCCCAGATCTACTGCGGAGGCTATCTCTACAAAGAGTTGCCAGCCCATGAGTTACATTCACCTCAATAATCTCACTTATTTCGCAGACTTCATATCTCCCAGTCCACTTTAGTAAGTTTTCCAATCAGCTGAAAGCACTTGGACGGGTACAGCACCTAAGGACTCTAGCCTGAAAACCAGTGAATGAGATAATCGTCAAAGGATTTTGACATCTGAAACCCCAGTCAGAGAAGTCGATGATTACACAGTCGGGCGGCACAAAACTCCTATACACCGTCATTGCAGTCGCCGTACAAGTGTCATGGGCCCGATGAGATTGAGATCGGTCGGATTCCGTTACCCCACCGTTTGAATGTGCGCGAGGAAGGAGTACTAACTACTACAGAGACTTGGAGTGCCGTGGGATTTTCGTGCACTATTCTAAAGACTCTCTCTGTACATGTTTAGCTGCAAATTAGACAATTTTGAGACATAGATTAGAAGGAGATCGAACTACATCGTTTATAAATATGGTCATTTGTAACCCTAAAACATCAATTTGAGGTAAGCGAGCGTCGACTTCATCTATTGATTCTAACCCTGCATACTAATTTCTGAACCAGATCAGCCTCAGCCTAGTCATTCGATTACGTGGACTGAGGAGTTGGAAATCACAAACTTGTTCACAGATAAGTTCCGAATTCTGTGCAGTCAATACAATAAAAAATTTCAGATCAGTTCTATCTGTTTGAGTTCCAAAACTGTGTTATTGTTTAGGTTTCTCTACTCTCGGCTCTAAACTCTTAGAATGGGCAATTGATCAATATGGCTTGAAATGGAGAAAATACACGGCCAAGTCTAACGTAGCGTTTGCTGAATAATTCTGAATTCGAAACAGTAAGTTGCAAAAATACCGACACTGCTGTGAGGATAATGCAGCGAAAATATATTATTGGAAATATAAAAATTTCTTCGCAACACGGGGATGCTTTCAAACCTCAATCATTTTCTTTGAGACTGACCATCTCGTATGCGCTGAGGTCTCACTTGAAGCAATTGGTAGTGATTCTTTGGATTTAAAAGCTGCTGAATGATCAACTTCGTTGAACCATGTACAGTGATATGAAACCTCCTGATCAGATCTACTTGACAAGGAAATATTTACTATTCTAACTCAATTGAGAGATGCTAAGATTGTAATAATCAGGACTATTGCCAAATTTGATGCTTCTATCACTATTTCATTATGCGAAGGCGCTACCTTGATTGACATCCAGCTGTACAGGACTTCGTCGTGTGTCTAAATTGAGTAGCCAGGGATAACATCCAACATACCTCTCAGAACTAATAGATCTAAAGGTACTACCCAAAGCTCAAGGAAACTGAACACGATCGCGTGTTAACATCTCGTGTGCTTACATCCACATCCTGTCTGTTTGACAAGTCCGACAACGCAAATCCATCATGCAAGCGAGGTCTGCTGTTCTTGGAATTCTTAGATCGTGCTGTCCAGCTTCTCTTCAGCACCTTGTTAGATGCTCGAAGGTCTTCTGTGTAAAGCGGATCTGCCATGCGAACATACTCTTTGGGTTCACAAAAGTCCTGTAACACAGTTCGTTCTTAAGTTAGTCAGCTAACTTCTTGAAGCATCGGACGCAGGTCAATCCTTCAAACAAACGAGACAAACAAGAATTTTTTTGAAGAGACGCAAAAAAGTTTCTCTGAGGACTGGGCAAATTTGGACGTGTTAGTTGATCCTTACAGGATGGGCTTCGAAAAAAGCTTTATAACCCCCGTGTAAGATGTACATGTGAGGGAAACCGATATCTGGATACAGCTCAATGTGACGCTTCCTGTCAAGATTCCTCATATGCCTGAAACTGTCGAACATGCAATTCTGTTGTCAGAGTCAACTCATCTGAGCAGACAACAATCTGGCATATTTAAGTCCACGAGAGAAATCTGCAGGGCCAGTATGTGCGCTTACAGCTTGGGTGCTCGGGCGGATGAGAATTCGCAGTGGAAAATTATTGCAATTTCTTTCCCTTTATCCATGTATTTAAAATAAAACTCTTCAATACTGCTTGGGTCTTGAAGATTCAATGCTCCCTGAACATGTGCTGATGTGTCAGAAACAACTGAACGACATTACCATGCTTGAAGACGATAAATAAGAGTAACCAGATTTTCAGTACAGGTGATCCCACTGCACAAGGTCTACAGAATTAAAAGGGAACAAAGGAACTGGTAACCGGACTGGAAACCGAGTGCAATTTAATGCTAATCTCACCTTTATATGTCCACCAGAGTATTCAAACTTGTGGCGAGAGTCGATGATAACAACGGAATCATTTGGAAAGTCTCTCTCACCTGACAAAATCTCCTTCATCTGCCACAGAGGAAAACAGCTTAGCAGATGATACAAGCAAAGAAACAAATAAGATCAGACGGGGCAGTGGTTTGAAAGTGCTCAGATTGTTAGCATAGTCAAAATAGTTGCTTTGTTGGAAAGGGAAACGTATTAAAATCCAAGAGTTAGTCACTCACAATATCTGCTGAAATGCTTGGCAATTCGCAGTGCTCCACCAAGGGAAACAGAGTCTTTGAATCATCCTCGAGAGTTTTAAAGGGCGATACTTCACATGCAGCGACAGGGAAACTTTTTCCAGCAGTAGGAGTTCCTTTGACAGCGGAGCCGTGTAGAGGAGAATTTGGAGGCTGGCGCGGAGCAGGAGATTGTTGGACTTCAATTTCCATCGTGTGCCTTTCATCAATTTTGATATTGCTGTAAGAACGACTGAGAGGCGATACAATGCCGGGAGGGCAAGGCCTCGGGGACTGTTGCTGTTGCACTTCTACCTCCATACTGTGCATTCAAAATGGAATATAAAAGCAGTTGGTGTGAAGACCACCAAATCTAAGAACTTATTTAGTTCATTCTCAATTAGCACAATCAAGAAAATTTGGTCGCTGAGACGTTCCACCCAATTTTCACTGCCTGCACATCAAGACCGCATAAACTTTAATACAAAATACCGCGCGCATTATATGTAGAGTAGATTGTCTAAATTGTAGACTATGTACTTTGGCAGCAGGAGCAAATTGAAGTTCTTTACTTCCCCATTCAGGACACACGGAGTACAAATAACCAATGCCAGAAAACCAATCCACCGTATTTAAACATCGGCCGTTAATGACAGCGTTCTGCCTGCACTAAGAGACTTCCTTTAGCTCTCTGCACTACACACTGCTGCGCTCCACTTCTCGAATGTAATTGCTTCCGAGAAGAAAAGCAGAGAACGACTGAATGTTCACAGAGGTCAAACAAAGTCGTCGAAACCATCTCCTTCAGCACTGCCCATCCGAACGACTGGAGAGAAGGCACCGCGATGCCAAAGACAGATACCGAAGACCAGCAAAGTCCCCATGAAATTCAAAGCACTCGCGCAATAACAACAACAACAACATTTGACCTCACGCGTGCACCCTGGAACTCGATCTCTCTGACAAATAGTAGAATAACGATCCCAAGATAAAGGTCCTACAATCATTCCCATAACAAGTGGTCTGATCGATCAATCACAAGCGCAGGCAGTCGAGCGTAGAGGAAGAGGAAGACGACCACTATTCCGACACAATTGCAGCTAAGAATTCGATCTAACATCGGGGACGACAGTCCATACCAGTTCGTACTTTCCGTCTCGATTGTTGCAACGGGGCAGGGAAAGAAGAGGGCGATCCGAGAGGGAAAGACAAGGTGCGCTGCAACGCTACACGAATTCAAACCAAATCATCGTGGAGCGACGGAACGGCTCTGCGCGTGATTCTCACTCTATACGATGAATATTCCACTTTCAGGCTGCATTCACTGTTCGGTAACTTTCATGCCGTTGCCTTCGCTATGTCGGCACCGCTGATGGCCAGTCAAATGGGATAGTCACCGGCGCGACGGTCAAGAAAGTCTCTCTCTTTCCCATTGTGTGTGTACAATTTTGAATGGTAGTAGGTCATTCACCGACTGCTGGGAATTCTCAGCTCCGCTGTGGTTTATTCAGTTTACTTCGGACGAGGTAAATTCCCTCGGATTCCAACACACGCCCGTGTGTACACGTGTCTACCGGTTCTTGACATTTGAATACTATCTTGTGCTCTATAACAGCTCCAAGTGAGCGTCTAGAGTTCTGATTCTTCTCTTGCCTATTTCTCAAAATGGGTCTTCCCCTTTTATTCTCTATTCTTCTCTTGTCTAGTGTATACTTTTCGTCCCGACGCTAATATATGGCCCTCTTATTGAAAGCAATCACTTTACGTGATGAATATACTATATTATACTAAACTATACTTGTGTATCATGTAGCAAGTTTTTCTTACATAGATTGGATGTCACCGTAGTAAATAGCTTGTACAATTTTCGCTGATATGAAATTACAATGTATTCTTGTTTATTTTATGATGTGATACTTTTTAGTGTCAAATGATCATTGCAAAATTGAATTAATCAACAGCATTATTTTTTGCTTCAATATTTTATTGGATCCTACATGATATTATTGAAAATTTATACGATTTAATATATTTTTTAATCATTAGAAAATTATTTTTTATGTTTCAATATAAAATTATGGTTTTCCAATTTTATTTTAAAATTTAAAATTAAAGGTAAATTTTATATTCTTGATTAATTTGAAATATATTTTATTAAAATTCAATGAACTTCAAGTCAACAAATATGCAGATACGATTTATGATGTTTTTTCATTTATTTTGATTACTTTGATATATTTAATATTTATCTTGTGATATGATATGTGTTCAATATTATAAGAGTACTCTTGTTTTTTTGTTTATTGTTTTATTTCATTTTATTTAAATTATTTTCCCTAAAAAATTTGATCAAATAAAAAACATTATAAGCATAAAAAAAAATTCTGTCAAAATTTTTAGGCACATTATTATGTCATAATCATGCTTATATTTTGATTACATAATTCTTTTAACATCAAAACAGTTCGATTGTTTCAGCTAAACATTTATTTTTGAATCATATTTTTATAAAGAAAAATATCTTAAAATTTATAAAATTTTCACTATATTTTGTTTGAAAACTACATATGAATATCCACAACATTGAAACTTAACATGATTGATTTTATTTTAATTTGAAAAATCAATTAATAGACATTTTGTCAATAGTTTGAAATTTTCATCAAAATCATATAATTATTATCTTAAAAAATATTATAAAATTCTAACGACGTACAACATACTATTTGACAGAATGTTGACGAACACAAATAAATTGTCTAGATTTTGTTTAGATCTTTATATGCTAGCATGTCTCAAAGTTTGCCAATCTTTTTAAGATTTTGAACTAAACAAAGTTAAGTAACTTCTTATTTTGCATGAACAAACTTGGTGACTAATCATAACTATTTTTATATTTGAATTTTTAAAAAATATTATCAAAAGAAAGGTTTCATTATTAATCTGAGGAATCTGAGATTTTTTTTCTTTGCTAGTTGATTCTCAACTCATCAAAGAAAACATCAAAGCAAATAGTAAACTTACACATGAATGTTTCTCAAAACCTATAATTATTCTCATCACTTTGAAATTCAAAAAATTAGATTATTAGAAGTAAAATCCATCTTTTATATATATATATATATATATATATATATATATGTGGATTTGAAATATACATATTTTATGAATGAATATAATTGAGCATGTGTAAGTTTAATCTCATATTGAAAATTGTGTTTTGATATTTATTTAATTTTTACAAATCCATCAATTATCTTATCAGCTTCACATCTCAAAGTTATGTGATAAAATTGATTCATTTAACAAGATCATTCAAAATATCATTACGGCAATCTCTCGGTCAAGTACGCGAATTGATCCCAAGAAGATTATGAACACTTAAGAAACAAGTACTTCCATACCAAACTCGTGTTGTCACTTTGGAAACTGAAGTTGGATGTGGGAGAAAGCGGGTCTAGTTTCAACTTGCGCTTCCAAGACTGGACTTCCAACAGATTTAGTAACCTTCTACAGACTTCGTATTTTTCCTCTTGTTGAAAGAGTTCAACCTTTGAAGTTTGTTTTCTTACACCAAAGTCATGGAAGCAAATATATTCCTGGAGTCTAGAGAGTTCCCTTTCATCACAAGACTATTCCACCTCCAAGTATGGAGCAGGGGAGCATAAAAACCAAGTTATGGAAGAGGTTCTAATTTTATATTATTATCTTTAGAGTTGTCTTAGTTGAAACTTCAGACAACAATTCATGACATGTTGTGTAAAATTGTGTGTTGCGAGATTGTGTAAGAAAATAGTAGTTGCAAAGACACCCTCAAATTTCATAAAGGATGTGAAATTAACTATGAAAATGGTTTGTGGTAAAAAATTTATACAATCACGAAGTAAAGGTTTGAGAGAATAGTCGCGAACCGGAATTGTGTCTTTGGAGTGATACGCGCTCGTATGAGGATCTACATTTCTTAATGCCAAGGTTCTAATTTCTACGGTCAACTGGACATGGACTTTTGTATCAAGGCTAGAACTAACACACAACATTTCTCTCTTTAACTTGTAAAAACGTTTAGTAATGGGGGCAGAAACCCGAATAAGTTCAATTAAAAACTTCTTAATAGTATTGATTCTTACGATGCTCACTGGGAATATCAGTGTAAACTTTACACAGATATGTAGGGTTTACATTATAAATCCTAAACTTGATCCGTGCCTTTTTGGAAAAAACTTGCGTATTTATTGGAGATGAGTACTTAACTGGGAGGTTACTGTACTTACCATGTTGCTTACTTCTTTTCTTAATAAAAAAAAGTAATGCACCACCAAAGAGATCGGTTACGAAGGAGGTAACTTAGACAATCCTGAGAAAATCTGATGCATGGCATCAAACTCTAAATCCAGTGGACGAGGCGTAAGAGCATCATGCAACGCGCTAACAAACTGATATTTATCTTGCAAAAGATAAGTGGCATGATTGGGCACAAAGACAGTATGAGAATGTATTTGATGAAGACAAGGGGGCAGTAGTGTACAAAGTGGGTTGCTTGTGTTTATTTACTTGCTTGTCTTTGTGCAGACTTAGGTTTGGAAAAAGCATTCTTCAATCATGGATGTCGCATGTGGATTTGGGACATTACCGTGTGATGTTGTGTCCGTTTTTTGGCCATGCATAATGTTCTATGCTCTGTTTCAGTTGGGACGAATTCATCTTGGAACATTATATGTTGTTTTCTTAGAACAATGCAAGCAGTATCAACATATATAATTTAGTATTACACACGAAGGGTGTATATCTAGGCTTGTGATTTTCGTAAAGTGAAAGGGCCAAACAATATAAAAAAATGATCCGTATACTGAATCAATTCTTACATGGATGAAATCTAGGGGTAAGAGGGGCTAGGTTCCAATAGCGTAAAGATGAAAAAATATGTACTACTGCAAAAGAAATCTTAATTTTCCATACGAAACAATTGGACTATTCCAAGAATAATCAACTTTGTTAACTACTATTAATATTACTTTCTTGTGCTGCTGCTGCATAGCAATGGATTCAAGCCCGTAACAAATGAAATTGAAAACAGAGTACAAGGAGCGCAGCCCTAGATGGAGTCAAAGGAGGGTCAGAGTTAGGTCACGGGGCTAGAACAAGGGGTGGAAATAAGGTTGAAGAATCACACAACCAGAACCTCGAGCAAGACTCACAGGCAGCTACATATAGTAGTAGCACCAAACTAGCCGGTCAGGATGGATATAATCCGAGCGTCTGGCACACAGTGGTCTCGTATCTCAGCGCGGCCGCCAGAGTAGTCAGTCTAGGTTAGTTAGCAACAGGTAGCTGGGGGCGTGCAGGGTTTCGCCACTACGCTCAAGCTCTACTGTCCTCCGTTTCTTTCTGTCAGCAAATACAATCTTACATCCAAAGATTATAATTAATAAAATGACGAAAATATTGAGGGCAAAATTGTGTACCTGGATACGCCAGCTTTGTAACTACAGGTGCAGAAGCCACAGGCCGTGAACGAACATCGACGTTCTACTACAGGATTGGACATCTGCTTACGTGAGTCAGAGAAAGTTCCAAGGTCATGGCCAGTCGTTTGAAGCCAGTGAAACCTTTTGTGAGAGTTTCGGCGCCGCCAGACACAACCCTAAGTCACTCCTTTCCCTCGGGCTGTTGCTTCCTTCTGCAGTATAGATGTTTACTACGATCACGTCTCATCAAGTCTAGCGTAGCGTTCCTAAGTGGCAGAAGGTGAACGACGAAGAGACGGTCCCGTCGATCAATTCTAGTTATTCTACCTTTCAGCCTGTAAGAGAAACGAATTTGTCAAGTCTTTCTGTCGAGATTGATAGAATTATGGGACATTGTAGTTTTTGGTCAACTCGTTCTGTCAAGTCTTTCTGTTGATTTTAAGTCCAATCTCGTGCTCTCATTTTCTTGATGTAGGTGTCTTTCGTTATTCGTGGACCTCAAGTTCTAGCACGTGTCTTGTGTTTACTCGAACAAATAGTGATACGCGAGATCGACAGGGATCCGAAAGAGAGTCGTCGAGAAGGTTT